AGAGGGAGTTGGGGCAGCTTAAGGGAAGGGTGCAATGTTTGATTTGGGAGGGCATGGGGGGAAGGGAAGTAAAAAGGGAGTTGAGGGAGGCGAAGCGAGCGGTGGAGAAGTAGTTTCGGGAAAAGGAACGCGAAAGTATCTCTTTGGCACAAGCACCGTGGGTTGGGGAGGGAGGGAAATACTGGGGGAAATACTTTGCGAAAAGGGTAAGGAAGGGGAAAAGGGAAGTGGGAGCGATTGTCACAGGGGAGGGAGTATGGGTGGAGAAACAGGGAGAAGTGTTGCGGGAGATCACAGGATTTTATTCTGGGTTATATAAGAGGTGGGATGTAGATGGCAGGGGGGGGCAGGGAAAGGAGAGGTTTTTGGGGGAGTTGGAGAGGAAGGTAGGAGAGGGGGATGGAGCGGAGTTGGAAAAGGACATAATGAGGGAAGAAGTGAGAGAGGTGCTGGGTGGGATGAAGAGGAATAAAACTCCTGGGTTGCCAGTGGAATTTTATGCGTGGTTTTGGGAGGTGGTGGGGGGGGATGTGGTGGAGGTATTCAGGGAGATTATGGAGACGGGGGCGGTGGGGGAGGGGTTTGCGGTGGGGGTGGTTTTGTTGCATAAGAAGGGATCAGGAGGTGCTCCAGAATTGGAGACCAATTACTTTGTTGAACGTAGATTATAAACTGTTCGCTAAGGTGTTGGCTGGACGGATGGGGAAGGTATTGGGGGAGGTGGTAGGGGGAGATCAGACGTGCAGTGAAGGGGAGGAGGATCACGGACACGCAGTGGGTTCTGCGGGATATGTTACTCTGTGGGGGAGAGGGGCTGGAGGGTGGTGGTGGGGAGCGTAGATTTGGAGAAGGCATATGATAGTATAGAGCACGAGTTTTTGTTTGGTGTTTTGGAGCAGATGGGGTTTTCTGGGAGATTTGTAGGGTGAGTGAGGGCACTGTATGGAAGGGCACGGAGTAGGGTGTTGGTGAAGGGATTTTTGGGGGATGAGTTTCGGGTCGAGAGAGGGGTGCGACAAGGGTGCCCCCTGTCGCCGGGTCTATTTGTTTGTGGGATGGAGCCGTTGGCTCAGTGGGTGAGGAGGGAGGAAAGGGTGAGGGGGATACTGGTACTGGGGGCAGGGAAACTACGGGTGATGTTATATATGGACGACGTCACCTTTGTGTTTCAGGGTGAGGGGTCGGTGAGGAGGGTGTTAGAAGGGATCGGGGAGTATGGGGGGCGGCAGGGCCATGGGTCAGTAGGGGGAAAAGTAAGCTGTTGGCGGTGGCGGAGTGGAGGGGTTTGGGGGAGGAAGGGTGGCAGGTGGAAAAGGAGGGGATAAAAGTTTTGGGGGTATATATGGATGTAGGTGGGAAGGGGAAACAGGCATGGGAGGAGGTGAGAGGGAGGGTAAAGAAGGTCTTAGGGATATGGGGGGACGCGGAGGTTATCATTTAGGGGGAAGGTAGGCATGAGTAAACAGGTGTTGCTGCCAATGATATTTTTCGTGGCAGTGGTGTACCCGCCAACCTGGTTGCAGGTGCGGTGGGTGCAGAGGGAGGTTTGTTTATTTTTCTGGGGAGGGAAGACGGAGAGGGTGGCGAGGCGGGAATTATACAAGATGGAGGAGCTGGGAGGGTGGGGAGTACCGGAGTTGGAGGCTTTTGTTTATGTTCACTTTTGGAAAGTGGTGGTACGGTTGGCAAGGTTGGAAGGAGGGAAAGTGGGGGAGTTTTGTCGGTATTGGGCAGGGACATCTTTGAGGAGGCTGGGATTGTACGGCGGGCGGTGAACAGGTTTGTGGGCGGAAAAACCTGCGAGGTGGTATGTACGGGTGTGGAACTTCTTGAGGGCGAAAGGGTTGGAGGGTTTGGGCTGTGAGGGTTTGGGGGAGGCAAAGAGGGTGTTGAGGGAGATCGGGGGAAAGGATGGGATGGCGGACATAGGGGAGTTGTCCTGGGCACAGGTGGGGAGGGTGTGGAAGGGAGTAGTGGGGAAGGGGTGGAAAGGGGAGCAAGAGGATTTTGTCTGGTGGGTGGTGTGAAGAATTTTACCGGTGAGAGCGGAGCAAAGGTGGTGGGGGTTACTTCAGTTGGCGGAGTGCCTGCGGGAGCTGTGCACGGGGGAAGAAACAATCTACCATGTGCTGTGGGAGTGTAGGTGTGGCAGAGGGTGGATAGGTTTTGTAGCGCAGTTGGGTGGGGAGCGTGTGTTACTTCTGAGGGGGCCATGTATGGGTTAGTAAATCACAAGGAGGAGGAGTGGGAGATCAGGGTTTTGTTACTTTGTACACAGGTGGCGGTGTGGAAGGTGCGGTGTTTGTTGGTGCAAAAGGGTTTATTTTTTACTTGACAGGAATGTGGCTAAGCGGTGGTGAAGGAGGGACGGGGTGGGGATGTATAACCAGAAGCTTCTTTTGGGTGGGGAGGGGGGTGGAATAAATGCGACGGGTTGCACAGAGCTGTGTACGCGGACGAAAGATATGGATTGTACCTATGAGACTTGTGTTTGTTGTTTGGGTGTTGGAGTTCTGTATTGTTTTTGATACTTTGTTAATAAAAAAGGCCAGGCACAAGTCTGGTTGTTCCTCTTTCTGTCCGACGGGAGGTCGGGGACACGGAGGAGATAGAGAAGGATGGCAGGCGTGGTAGTGATTTGCATATGCAAGTGAGGGCAGAGCAGCAGGGGGTGACTGAGAGGATTGTGAGAGGAGAGGTGGAGCCACAGACGGAGATGGTGTGGGAGAACGGCGAACTGGTTGAGAGGGAGTGGAGCGAGCGGATGAATGATTGTGGGACAGAAGCGGAAGCAGGATGAGTGAAGCCGTTAGGTGCGAGAGACGGAGTCACCGGGACCTGATGGCGGCAGGCAGAGAAGAAACATCGGAGAAGAGGACTGCAGCCTAGTTGGATGAGGAGGAGCAGGAGCCATTTTGGGGAAAGGAAGATTCTCCTCTTTCCCCCCCCTGAAGGCAAGTGAAATTGAGAGTAGAAGTATTTTTACTGAAAGAAGGCTTTGAAGGAGTGACGTGGCTCAAGAGAACTGAACTTATGGAAAAGATATTTTCTAAAGATATTGGATTGAACCATAGAGATTTAAGTGTTGTAATTGCTCATGGAAATTATAAAGTGTGAGGGTTAACTCTTTGGAGGAGAGCCTATGGTCACCCATGCCTTCCATCTCCTAACCTGCCTGGACCCCGTGGTAAGTACCATGGCTGCCAGCGCCCTCAGAGGCTGCATACAAGGGGACCGGGAGGCAGCCGACTGGATGTGACTTGGCCCCCTTCCTCAGCGGCTTGCTGGAGGGCGAGTTCAGTAGAGATGGCGGGACTTTGCCTCACTGTGGATCCAAGCCTGCAAGGCCGTGTGCCGCCTTGGGAAATGCATCAGCTGTGCCTGGACCTGGAGCAAGGAGCCCGGAGTTGGGAGTCTCCTTGCAACCAGCCCCGTAGGCCGACCCTGTGACGCCCTGCACGAGGACCTTCCTGGAGAGGTCCCTGAAGGATGCCGTCTGCAACAAGTACACCGGCGACCTGAGGGACAAACCTGACCAGGGCAAGGTCTTCAACTCCAGCACCCTCTTCGCTTGTGTAGATGCACCCTGTGGGGGGAAAACTGGGCCCTTTATGGCCCCATCCCAGCGGGGCAGAGGGCTGTGGCTGGCTAGGGGCTGTAGCGGGCTCTGCGGGCAGGTCTCTGGTGCCCGAGGGGCAGGAGGCTTTTCCCTCTCACTCCCACCTCCGCCTGGGCCCCTGGGGTCTGCCCCAAGGGGGACAGGACAAACAGATCCACCAAACCCTCGTCCCCAACCAGGGCTGCAGATGACGGGCTCCTTTCCAGGCTCGAAGGTTCAAGACGCCTGAGGGCACGGATGATTTTTCCTACCTTCCCAGAGGGCCCCAGGGGAAAACTCTCACATTTGGGTGTTCACCTTCCCCTCAGGTAAGGGTGGGAGGGACACGAACCACAGTCCTGTATGCAGAGGTGGGGGTGATGCAGAGGAAATGTCTCCCACAGCAGTTAGGTGCGGCTGTGCCCGGGCAGCGAACATTTGTATGGCAGGACAGGCGCTCTCCCAGGGCCAGGGCCTGACAGCCTGCACTCTCACTCCCATGTTCCCCCTTGATGGACGAGGGTAGGAGGGTCGTTGGGAGCTAACTCCCGGCTTCCTGTCCTATCGCGGATGGGGTCGCTCTGCTCCGGTGCACGTTACCTGGCCCCCGAGTGGTGGAAAGCTGGACCCCTCCGCTGGTGTAAACTAATTGCCTGGGTGTTTTTGGTTTTTGTCCCCATCACAGTGACGAATGTGTGAGGTCTCAGGCAGGTCCCCCCCCTGGCGCCTGGCCAGCGTCCCCAGGCAAGAGGCAGCTGCTCCTAGGTGCCTGCACCCTGCAGGGGGCTTGGTGTGGGCACGGGGGCTCCTCCCCCCCGGGGGTCCGCCGGCCATGGGCTGGCGGGGCTGGGAGCTGTTTGCAGCCCGCACGTGTGCTCGGTCCGGGCTGTGGCCGCGTCCACACCGGGCTGTCACGTGCGTCTGCGCCCCGCGGGGGGGGGCTGCGCTGGGCGGAGGGTAACGCCCCCCGCCGGTCTCGTTTCCACGCGATTTGCATATGCAGATGAGGGCGGCGCTGAAGCTGGTCTCTACCGCGGTCCAACGGGCTGCCGCCGCCTCCACGCGCGCCGGGCAGGGCTTGCAGCGCGGGCGGGGAAGGGCCCTGCCCGGGAAGCGGTCTCGGCTGCGAGCAGGTGCCCACCCCCCAGCCGCGGGCTTCCCCCGCAGTGCCGGCGGGGCGGGGCAGGACGTGCTGCGGGGCAAGTGAGGGGCGGGGGCCTTCCGGGGCGGGGCACCAGAGGCCCTGCCTGCCCCGCCCCGCGCGGAGATCTGGACTGGCACTTGCCGCCCGGCGCTGCCTCGCTCGGGGGGGGCGCGGCTTTCCAGCAGCCAAACACGATAAAGTAACTGAACTTCTTCGTGTTGAGGGGGCGGGGCGGGCGCCTTCTTGTCATTGGCCGGCCCCGCTGCGTGTCCCGCCCCCCGGGAAACGGGCGGGGTGGCTGGAGGGGCGGTCACACGTGCAGGTGCCAGGTCTGGGCAGCCGGCAGGCGGAGCGGGGCGGTGCGGGCCGTGGGCGCGGCGGGTCCATGCTGGGTCCTGCGGGGAGGGGGTCGCACACGGTCCGCCTGGGCTGTCTTGACCCCAGAGCCGGGTGGGTGGTTGGGGGGCGGTGGCAGTGCTGGCGGGCGGGGGCTCCCGCGCGCGCACACGCTGCACAGAGATCCCTCCCCTCAGCGGACCTGCCCGGCGCTACATCGCTCCCTCCCCACTCCTCCTCTCCCCCCGGGGCCGGATTCACGGCCGGGTGCTCGTGTGTGTGTGTGTGTGTGCGCGCGCGCGCCCCCTGGTGCCCCCTGTGTCCCCCTTACACGCCTGAATGCTGCCCGCCTGCAAAGGGAAACCCACGGTTTCCCAACCCCTTTAGACACTGTGAATTTGGACAAATGCTGTTCTGGGTTATGAAGCCCAGGACTGGGATTTGAGGTTCCTATTTGGGCACTGTCCCATCCAGCCAGGGAGCGGGGGTCACCCTAAGTGCAGGGCTGGGGGGGAGGGAGCAGCTGTTGGGCTGGGGAAGGGGTGGAGAGCTGCGGCGGTGCCATTTCTCCAGCCAGCCCGGTGCCCGCATCCTGCGCTGGGGCTGGAGGGGAAGTGGGGACGGCTCCGAGACTGCTCCGAGTGGGGTGGTCGGGAGCATCAGGGCTGGGTAAACCTCAAGCTGGGCCGGGGTTACGGTCCCGGGTCTCGGATCCGTGGTTAGATTTCTATTGTCTCCTTTCCCACAGGCGCCATGCACGAGTGTACAGAGAGCGAGAGCCCAGGCCCCCGGCTGGGTGAGATCCCTCCTGGGGAGACGTGGCTGCTGCGCTGCAGCCCGTGGCAGCTGTGCGCCTTCCCTTCGCAGCAGGAGCTGGAGGAGCAGGGCCCAGGAGGTCTGCAGGCAGGGGCTGAGGGTGCAGAAGTCCCTCGTGTCGTCCAGATCAGAGCTGGTCCAGCACAAAGAGATTTGGGGGCAGGACACGATGCAGGCCACGCAGCCCCCTTGTGAGGCCAAGCTGCTCTCCATGACCCCACAGCTGGCACTGCAGGATGAGCTCCCCACCCCAGAGCCCTGGCGCCAGCTCTTCCGCGGCCTCCGCTACCGGGAAGCCGAAAGCCCAAGGAAGATTTGCAGCCTCCTGTGGGAGCTCGGCGGGCGCGGGCAGAACCCCCAGAGCCGCAGCAAGGAGCAGATCCTGGAGCTGGTGGTGCTGGAACAGTTGCTGGCCGTCCTGCCCCAGGACATGCAGAGCTGGGGGTGCGGGGGCCGCATGGCGACCTGCGCTCAGGCCATGGCCCTGGCCGAGGGGTTTCAGCTGGTACAGGTGGAGGACGAGAAGCTCCAGGTGAGAGCGTTTGTTTGGTGCCATTTGTACTTCCACGTGTTTGGGGAATGTTGCTTCCCAGCTCCCCAGTGACACTTTTATCTCATCCCCAGGTCACAGTGCATGTGAAGGTCGAGGAGGTGTCCTCAGACAAGATGCAGCCCACTGGGACCCTGCTGGAGCCTGGTGATTCCTGGGTGCAGCAGCCAAAGGCTCATTGTGAGGACAGGCCTCTGGCGGAGGCAGGAGAGAGAGAAACCCCAGGGCCTGAGGATGAGGAGCCTCCACTTAACCTGGAGCCAGGTCCTTACCAGCCTTTTTGATGTGCACGATTAACATGGGCTCCACACCTAAAGAGCAACAGTTACCTCCCTCCACCCCCCGCTATTATTAGTGTTGGCTACTGGGTTTAGGCCAGTTGATTTTGGGGGACAACTCAATAGAAAACGGACGGGAGTGAGGATGCAGGCTCCAAACAAGTGCTGCAAGCGGGGACAGCGAGCGGAGCAGAGCGGACAGTAGCTGCTGGCTCTTGAATTACTCCAAGGAGCCAGGGGCAGGTGAGGTGCAGGATGAAGTCCTGGCTTGCAGTTAGGAGCCTGAGTGACTGTCCTGCTGTCGGGGTGAGAGACTCCAATGCCTGCCCCTGCCTGGGACAGGGCTGCAAAGTTGGTAACTGTGTGGCTGGGGTGGGACAGGGCTCTGGTCTCTATGGGTGGTCCAAGACCCAAGAACTTTCTCACTGCCTGCATCGCTCCTCACAGAAAGATGCTTTACATGACTGGCTCTTGCCGTGCTGCCACGGTCACAATCAGTGATCTAATTGCTGTTCTAAGATCAGTGTTGTAATAATATCAATCAATAAGAGGCTGGTGCAGGTGATGAGGAAATGAGAGTCCCCAGTGGCCTCTGGCTGATCCAGGTGCAGTTTACCCAGGCCTCTGTCCTGCTGCAGATCCCTGGGACAGGGGAGCCCTGGGAGCTGTCAGCATGTGGAGGGTCCCCAGGCGGGTGCCCCAGACCAGGCCCTTCCCCAGGCGAGGTGAGGAGTGGTGGGTCTCCCCTTTCCAGTGGCAGGAAGCCTTGTCCCCCAGTGTAGAAATCTCTCTGCCAGAACTGTTTGATGGGTCCGTGCTCCAGCAGGTTGGCGGCTCTTGTTCTCCCGGTGCCCCTGGAAGCATTTCACGCGTCCTGGAGTAGGCTGGCCCTGCATTTTCCCCCCCAACCCCGCCCGGACATGTGGACGTGACACAGCACCAGCATCCCTCCAGATCCTTTCCCAGGGAGCGATACGATGTCACGGTGCTGTGATCACCACCAGCGCTGGGACAGTTCTAGGGGCTCATCTCCAGCCTCTTGCCATAGGATGATGAGTCTCCCATGTTCCCTCTCTTCCACACACTGAAGCCTCCAGCTGCTTTCATCCCAGGCCAGTCCAGGACACTAGTAGGGCTTTCCCCATGCCACCACCCCAGGGCTAACCTGTGCACTCTTCCCACCCGCAGGTGCTGGGACCCTGAGCAGAGCAGATCAGCAGCCTCCCAAGGAAGGGTCTGTCAGCCTGGAGCTGCAGAGACCCTCTGCAGGGAAACGGGGACAGAGCAGCTCCCTGACATCTGGGCCAGGCCAGCTGCAGAAGGGGCAGGGCAGGCCTGCAAAGCAGGGGGAGAGCATGGAGGTGAGCAGGGCACCAGCTCCAGGTGGGGGTGGGAATGCAGCTTGGGCAGAGCCCAGGAGGAGCCAGGGGTGCTGCCAAGAGTTTGGGTAGCAGAGAGACCTGAAGAGTGAGAAGTCTCTGGTGATGGAGATTACAAACACCCCAGGCTGCATTAGTAGCAGTGTGCTCCTGGGTGCAGAGAGCCAGGGGTGCTGGCATGGGAAGGTCGGGTAGGAGCCCAGCCAGCCAGCACCAGGAAGCCTGGGGTAATGGTCTCTACAGCTGAGCCCAGCAAGTCCTCTTCCGCCTGGCTAGGACCGGGGAGCACAGAGGGTCTCTGCCACTGATGCCAGCAGGGTCTCCCCAGCCCATCAGTTTGGTACGAGTGAGCAGCACACCTGGCTGCTGATTATCTGTGTTAGTGTGAGGTGAGGCAGAAGCCAGGATGGATTTGCAGCTTACAAACTAACTGAATCAGAGGCACAGCAAAGGTTTTTTCAATTCCATGCTCATTTCATAAATTGAAATTAAAGGATATGCACAGACCAGACTATTAAATAGAGAGAGTCTTTTGAATACCAAGTCTAGGGGGGCAGCGTGGTAGGAAGGTGGACAGTGCTGGGAGAGGGGAATGTAAGTAAAGACCCCCCCACACAAAGGGGACACAGCAGCTAATCTAGTTAATTGGATAAGAATCCCTGTTTGCATTTATCCTAATTAGATAAGGTCCCAATTATCCTAATTGGATAAGGTCCCTGTTTGGACCGTGCTTAACACAGCCCAGCCACCAGATGATTTCTGGTTGTACAACTCCATGTTCAGGTTTGTTTTGAAGTGTTTGGTCTAAGAACAGCTGCTCTGAGGTCAGCACTGGGAAGTCCAGTGAGGTGAAAGTGTCTTGCCACAAGCCTTTGTCTCTTCCTGGACCAGATGTCACCAGCAGGGCCAGGGGCCTGTGGGGGCGAGTGTGGGGCACCAGCATGGGGGCGGGGGGTTTGGCTATGGGTTGGGAGCAATTTTTTCTCTTATGAGAGAATTTGCAGTTTTTAAACAGACAAAACCAGGATCCTTGCATATCGTGTGCCAGCTGAATAGCATACCCCTGCTCCTGTCATGGCTAAGCTTGCAAAGCACTGTAGTGCAGAGTGAGTGCAGACAGGGCCATGGGGGCAGCTGGGGCAGGAGATACTGATGCTGTAACACTTGTGACTGCAGCTCCGGGAGGTGTTTGAGGACGTGGCAGTGTATTTCACATGGGAGGAGTGGGAGCTGCTGGAAGAGGAAGACAAGGAGCTTTACCGGGACCAGATGCTGAAGAACTACCAAGCCCTCATTTTCCTAGGTAAAGCTCTGGTTCTTGCTTTGCCTTGGAGCCATGTGAGCTCTGAACTGTTGTCTTCTCTCTGGTTTGAACAGTCTCATCCTCATGAACTTTTGACCGGTGGCTTAAATCCCTTTGCTCCCCACTGCTCTGTCCATGATCAGACCTCTCACATTTCACACTTGTATATATTCCTCCTTCATTTGATCCAGCCACCTTCCTTGGAGTCTTTCCCCTTGATAACATGATTTCCCTTTGCCTTCTCACCATGCTCATATCATTTGCCATTCATTGGGCCTAAAAATGCACTAACAGCTGTTCCTTGGGCAGTTATTCTGATTTCCTCCCTCTCTTGCCTAATGTGTCCTGTCCAAACTCATTTCCACTCATTTGCCTGGAATTACACTGGTGTTTCCTTTCTTGTGACCATACGTCCACTGCCTGGATGAAAAGGACCATCCTCTTCTCCATGCTGTGCCTTCCCTTTCATCCTAAATGTCCATCCTCCCTTGTCCTTCAAGTCCTTAGTATAATCCTTGAGTTCATTGGCTCCATTCCCCAAATTTCAGTTGCTTATTCTGCATCCAGTACCAGTGGATAAACTCTCTTTCAACACTGCCCAAACAGGATATCAAGGTCCCACACCTGACTTACTCTGCCGCATCCAGTCAGGACAGGTGCAGCTCTGGGTGTGTGATGATGAGGACTCTGGGGAAATCTTGAGGTCGGAGGACCTGCTGCCAGGTGAGTTGTGGCTGTTCCCTCCACCCAACTCCCCTCTCACAGATGCTGCATGCCCAGGGTGAAAGGGAGCCTGGACACTTCAGACCTGCTCTGTGCTGACATTTCAGGGTGCTGACCTCAAATCGCTTATGTTGTCGTGTGTGCAGACAGGTGTTGTTCCACTCCCTAAAATCCAAACTGTGGAAACTGTTACCAACAGGATTCTTTTTGTCAAAGACCCCCAAGGGTTGACATGGCCCCTTGCTGATTTAACATTAAGGAAACTTTAATAATTATTACAAGTGTCCTTCCTGTACTACGACCCAAAAAGTGGCTCCCTTAGACATTACAGCAGCAACCTTTGGTGGTGCTGGCCTCGTGTCCTCCACTGAGTGTGGGAGATGTTTGTTTCTGGCTTTCCCGCTGTTCAAGTAAAAATTGCACGACTGCCCCCCAACTCCCCAGGCTAACAGCATGCACACAACACCCCGTTCCTTTGTCCATTACTTTAATAACTTTCTCGTGCCAAATTGCCTAATCTCCCCTTCCTTACCAACCAAACAGGTTTTCACCAGCGATAATTATGGGTAAGTTTTTTAATGTCTTCCAGTACTCAAATGATGGTTTTCTTTGATATTTAAGATGGCTTTTTAGATCAGAGAAACATCCCATGATCAGAGCTTTTGGGGTCCAGACATGTTCTCGGGAATTCTGTCCCTTCTATATAATGGGCAACGCTTTCCTTGTCATTTCAAATGGATTGCTTGTGCCATTGGAGCACTACCAGTGCCCCGCTGCCCTGCAAGATGCTGGAGAAATGCTAAGGGTCAAAAGAAAACCAACAAAAGGATGAGAATAAAAACAAACGGTCAATCCACCCTTTTCGATCTTTGGCATGACTGATATTTTTGAGGCCCTGGAGGCCATGTTCCAGGGATGTACCGTTTTCTGTAGCCACTTTGCAGATATTCCAGAACCCATCCAGACGTTCTGCTTACATTTCATTGTCTAGCATAGTTAACACCACAACCACTTACAGCAGTAACGGTACACAAACACCGCCGAGCAAGCAAGACAATTACTATGCATAACACAATGAAGCTCGAGTCTTCTTTGTACCAAGTGAACTTGTTGATGATTCACTGCTGGTCCACATCCTGGAAAACGCAGACAAAAAGGGAAGGGCTTAACCCCTAGCGTTCATGTCATGGGATCACTTTTGACACTGGCTGGCTTGAGCCCTGGCCCTGGCCCTGCTGGAGCTCCTTCACAGATTCCCCTCTTTGCAGCTTGAGGCTGCTTTTTTAGCAATCTTTTCTGCTTCAAGTGACGGCTGCTGCAAGGTCTACCCTGCCACACAACTTCCCTTCTTGGCTTTCACCAGGGGTTTTTCTGTTTGGGTAGGCTCCCCCTATCCTTTTCCCAGCAAAGAGTAACCCACAAAGCAGTGGGAACCAAGGTTTTCAGGTGCTCTGAACTCGCCTTTCTCAGGGGTGTCAACATGTGGCATTTTGTAGAGACTGCCCTGCCACAAGTAGCCCCACCACACTAACCAGTCCCAGGAGGGTGTTGTTTTCAGGACTTACCCAGGACTAATCTTTAGGCTCTTCTGCCCTGGTTATCTTCATCCCTCATGGGCACAGCCTCTCACTTCTGGGTTTTTTGCGCCCCCAGCCATTCTTGTTGGACAAGAGAGAGGCTGGGGCTGTCCCTGGTGTCTCCTGGTCGGAGTGACCTTGAGCACAGGATGTGTGTAATCCTGGTCTCAGGCTGCATGAAGTGGGTCGGTGGAGTGGGTGGAATTCAGAAGACTTCATGTTGTGACGGGAAGGGAATACCCCGCTGTTTGCACCAGACTCTTCCCTGTGCCGTTTCCTCTCTGGAGCCCTGAGTGTCACAAAGCCTGAGGCTCAGCCCAGAGTCTCTGTGCAGGTTCGTGCCAAGGCCTTTGTCTCAGTGCAGATTCCTGTGATGTGGAGGCTGCCTGGGGTTCATTAGCAGAGGGAAGCTCCGTGAGATCATTCCCTGCATTAGACATTGCCCCAGAAACAGGCAGGAAGCAGATCACTGCTCCTTCCAGAAGGGAGACCACAGCTCTCAATCCTCCACTTCCAAAACATTTCTTGGTAGGATAATGCATCAAACACGATGGCTTTTGCTATCAAGCAGTGTAAGGCAGTGCTCACCACACACTCCTGGCTGGTGACAAGTCCCAGAAATGCCCCCCGAGGCTGTTCACCTTTGTACCCAGATGCTGCCTTCTTGACTGCCAGAGATCAAGGGCAAGCATTGCAGATGAGTCTTGCCAAAGCACTGGGGCTTCTGGAGTGTGTCCGCCCAGTCAGGTGGAGGGCTCAGTGTCATCTCCCCCTGGACCCACCAGTGCTGTGGGGTACAGCAGCCCTTTGAGAGCCTCAGTTTTATTCATAGCAGATCCTTCTGGTCTCATCCTCAGCCTGTTAAAACACGATCCTATTCAGGTACTGTCCTTAGCATACATGTCCCACACGTTTCTTGGAGCAGGGCATGAGGTGATGGGGCTGGGAGCTGGCCCAGAAACTTTGAGAGTCTGGCAGCAGGGCAGGAAGTAATTTGGTGTTTCTTCCTCCCATGCAGGACATGCCTGGTTGCTGAGCAGAAGTGAGGAGCAGGCTCCTGAAGAAGGGCCTGGAAAGCTGGAGCCAGCCTGGGCTTCCCTTGGCAGTATGGGTGAGGTGGATTCCCTGAGCCCAGCAAAGGACCAATGGCACAAGGATCAGGGGATGCCCCAGAAGCAGCAGACTGTAGCAATGAATGCGGTCCCATCTCTAGTTGGGCATTGGAGTGAAGAAGGGAAAGAAGCCAGAAAAAGCCCAAGGTGCAGGGAAGAATATGTCATGCTGAGATACCTGAAGAGGCAGAAAGCAAAGGTCCACTGGAGAGAGAGACTAGATGCAAACCAAGTCAGTATGGGGGGCCTCAGAGGGAAGCAAGAACTCACTACCAAGCCCAGGGGGAGAGCCCACCCCTGCCCTCAGTGCAGGGAAAGTTTTAGCTGCCCCTCACTCCTGACTCTGCACAAGATAAGGCACTCTGGGGAGAAGCCCCATGTATGTGCCAAGTGTGGGAAGAGTTTCACCTGCCTCTCGACCCTGGCTGCTCACTGCCAGATCCATTCTGGACAGCTCCCCCACCGCTTCACCAAAAGGGGGAAGAGCTTTGTGCGCAGCTTGGAGCTGTTCAAAACCCAGGATGTGCACAGGAAGAAGTGTCAGTACCGCTGTGTCACATGTGGTAAGACCTTCACCCATTTCTTCTCCCTGGTTCAGCACCGTCGGATGCACTTGGGAAGGAAGGCACACCGCTGCACCAAGTGCAGGAAGAATTTAATCTGCTGCAAAGACCTGAACCAGCACCGGTGCTGGCAGAAGGGGGAGCAGCCACACCACTGCAACACGTGTGGGC